CGTTGCTCTTGCGGACGCGCTGAAGATGGATTGCTGCATGATTGTCTGCCGCACAAATCTAGACTGCGATATCTTTGAGAAATATTTAATTAAATTAGGAGGCGGGAAGCGGTTTGCTGGTACTACCTGTCTCCTTTGTTTCTTCTGTCTCTTTTGTCTCTTTGCTCTGTCTCCGTCTGTCTCTACTTTGTCTTGTTTGTCTCCGTCTGTGTCTCCTTTGTCTCTTTTGTTTATTTCTCTGTCTCCGTTGTCTTGTTTGTCTCCTCCTGTGTCTCCTTTGTCTCTTTCTCTATTTCTTCTGTCTCCTTTGTCTCTGTCTTGTTATCTCCCTTACTCTTCTTTGTCTCTTTCTTTATTCTCTCTGTCTCCTTTGTCTCTTTCTTTATTTTCTCTGTCTCCTTTGTCTCTTTCTTTATTTCTTCTGTCTCCTTCACCGCCTTTGTCTCTTACGTCGTCCCCTTCTGTTGTCTCTTCGCTGTCTCCTTTGTCCCTCTCATTTTTTCTTCTGTCTCCTTTTTCTCCTTTATATGTTTTGTTTACGCATGCATGCATATAAATATATAAATATATATACATATATATCTGTATGGATGTGTAAATATGTATATGTACATATATCTGTAATTATATATTTGTATATATATATATATATATATGCAGGCAGTCTTGTGCATATTTGGTTTGTTTGTTTATTTGTTTATTTGTTTGTTTTTTTAATTGTTTGTTTTGTTGCTGCTTCATTTTGCATGCGTTGCAAGCCCCAAACCGCCTCGCCAGGGTTTACAAGTTAGGGTTTAGGGTTTAGGGTTTAGGGTTTAGGGTTTGTGGTTGAGGTGTTTAGGGAAGATGGAGAAGGGCAGAGAAAACCCTTATGCATGCGTCGTTGTTGCGGGTCTCCGGAGCAACCAGGAGCGTCAGGCAAACCTTGAGGTGTATATACACTCAAAACCCTAAACCCTAAACCCTAAACCCTAAACCCTAAACCCTAAACCCTAACTTCCTTTCTCTCATTACTGGCGATTCTCCTCCCCCTTTTTGTGCTTCCTGATGGGTTTTGTTTGTCTTCGTCCTTTTTTAATGCTGCTTTTCTTCTTCTCTCTTACGGTGCCTACTGCGTCTTGCTGCTGCTGCTGCTGCTGCTGCTGCTGCTGCTGCTGCACCTGCCTTACACGCTAATGTATTTGTCTTTATTTCCTCTTATTATTTGCTGTTGTTTGTTTGTTGTTTTTTAATTATCTCAATTGCATGCGCCTTCTCCTGGGGTGTACGTACACCCCACTCAACTTGAGGTGTCTCCTTGTCTCCTCTTTTTGCAGTTTTGTCTCTTGATTTTTCTTCTAGTACTTCATGTTGACTCTTTTTATATGTTTGCTTTGTCTATATGCATATATAAACATATATATAAACATATATATATATGTATATATATATATATATATTCATATAAATATTTGTCTGCATTTGCCTGGGGTGTATGCATGCGTGCACCAGTGTATATTTTTTGTCCTTTTGTACATATTTTGAATCCGTATAAACACATTTAAGCATTTATTCATGCATTATATACCCAAATATATATATATATATATTTGTATATATATATACAAATATATATATGTATATATATATATATATGT